AGCGCTCTACCACTTGAGCCACAGCGCCACTTCCAGTTTTCTGGTGGTTTATTGGAGATAGGAGTCTCACCATCTTTCCTGCCCACGCTGGCTTTGAACCTCGATCTTCAGATCTCAGCCTCCTCAGTAGTTAGGATTATAGGCGTGAGCCACCAGCGCCTGGCTAGGGACAATATCTTGGTTGGGTTTTTTGTTTTTTGTTTTTTTTTGCTCTTTTTTTTGGTTCCGGTCGTGGGGCCTGAACTCTAGGCACAGCACAGCTCAAGGCTAGCGTTCTACCACTTGAGCCACAGCACCACTTCCAGCTTTTTTCTTTTTTTGTTTATGTGGTACTGAGGAATCGAACCCAGGGCCTCATGCATGCAAGGCAAGCGCTCTACCACTGAGCCACCTTCCCAGCCCTAGGGACAATATCTTATCTTAAAGTTGACTCCCAGAAGGATTTACTCTTAGAGAAGAGGCTGTCTCCCCAGAGTTCTGTTTTGTTTTGTTTTTATACTGATCACTTTTGTAATGTGATTATGATATGTGTGTTGTCTTTTGATTTTGTGCCATTGTTTCCCCTCACCAGCTCTGTTATGTAGGTAGTTGGTGCAGAGAGGTGATTATAAGAATGTAAATTTTGGGGCTGAGAAGGTGGCTCAGTGGTAGAGCGCTTGCCTTGCATACATGAGGCACTGGGTTCGATTCCTCAGCACCACATAAGCAAAAAGAAAAAAAGCCAGAAGTGGTATTGTGGCTCAAGTGGTAGAGTGCTAGCCTTGGGTGAAAGAGCTAAGGTGCTAAGGTGCTCAGGCCCTGAGTTCAGCCCCATGACCTACCCCCTCCACCTCGCTTCCTCCCCCGCCCCAAAAGAAAAAAAGAATGTAGATTTGGGGCTGGATGTGATGGACCTCTGTCCAATGCATTTTGGAGTTACTTCCTGGTCCTAAAGAGAGGCTGGATCTGTGAGAGGTAGGCATGGCTAAGGCAGTGCCTGCCCGTGGACGTCCTGGGGAGTTTATTCAAAGGGAGGTATGTGGAGAATTGCTATGTCTCATTCTTGTTTTCTTTTTTTATAGGCACCAGTTTGTAGAAAATAATCTAATACTAAAAATGGGTCCGGTAGATAAGCGAAAGGTGAGTCAGGTCCTTGCTCTGCTCAGCCACCTCAGGCTTCTAAGCTTGGATCAGCTCATGACCTGCAGGATACAGTGTCTCTTGTCCTGGCATGCTCTTTAGAGTCCCACAGGTGGAGGAGTGGGATCTGGGCAGGTGGAAAGCCACTGCCATGTCCGTACTTTGAAGCTCAGTTTCCCATTGCTGCATGATGCAGAGTTCACCAGGCCAAAATTTCTGTTACTTTGAGGCCATGTCTGGTACTACTTATTATGATTGTGCAGCATGGATCAGAGCACACTAACATGAGCAGCACGTATCGGACTGTGCTGACATGAGCAGCCCATATTGGACCATACTAACATGACTCCTGGCATCCCTTCACTGCAGCGTGTCCTGTAAGGAAGAGAATGCTGCCCTGAAGGAGTCAGTAGCTGCCGCCAGCGGCGAGTCTTTGTGAGTCCAACAGTAGGGTCCATGAGACTAGGGGAGGAGCTGTCTCAGATGAGTAACGAGTGACTGGGGTTCTTCCAGTGTAGATCCTTCCTCTCAGTGCGTTAGTAACACAGTGTTTGGTTTTTGCTCAGGGTTTATTTGCACGGAGACGGCAGTTGTTGCTCACAGAAGGACCACATTTATATTATGTTGATCCTGTCAACAAAGTCCTGAAAGGTGAAATTCCATGGTCACAAGAACTCCGACCAGAGGCCAAGAATTTTAAAACTTTCTTTGTCCACACGGTGAGTCTGTCCTGAGGACTCTGGCTGGCAGTGTTCTGGGAAGACCTCTGTGCCTCTGAGGAGAGCCTCCCTTGCTTTGGCCTTGGGCCGTTAGGGCCCTGCATTAAGCCCTCAGGCCTGAGTGGGCCACTCTGAGCTGGCTCTCCATTTAGGGTGGGTCAGTCACCTGCATGTTTAGTTTCTGCGCGTGTGGAAGGAAGACCTGGTGAAGGTGCTTACAGGAGGACGTTAGGTGCTCTCTGGGGTGGGTTAGGGGACTCCCTGGAGGACATCAGGTGCCTCTGTCTTTGCAGCCCAACAGGACGTACTACTTGATGGATCCAAGTGGGAACGCTCACAAGTGGTGCAGGAAGATCCAGGAGGTTTGGAGGCAGCGATACCAGAGCCACCCGGATGCCTCTGTGCAGTGACAGGTCCTGCGGCCGGGCTGCCCTTCGCTGCCAGGACACCTCTCTTGGCGCGGCTCGGCCGCCACCAGGACGCTTCCAGACCACCTGCTGCCGGCCACCTCAAAGAACGCAGATGGCGGGAACCTTGCAGCTTTTTTATTTAAAAGAAAAGAAGAAAAAAAAACACCCAACTACACAAAGAACAAAACCAATAGCAAACAGGAATTCAGGGTTGCTTTGCTTGCTCTCCGTGCTCTGTGGAGGCTTCCACATGCTGTTGTGCCCGTGGAGACCCAGCTCCTGCCCAGACCAGTGGCCACCTTCGGCATCACCAGCCCCTCCTAGCATCCAGGGGAACTTTGTGCCCGCTACCACTCCTCCCACCTGCCCCAGCTTCTGCTGCGGCTGAGGGGCTGGGTGTGTTTTGGCTCTTTGTGCCCACCCTCATTGTCACAGAGCCCTTCACCAGGGAGCCTCTACACCCCTTTGCTGGGCTGAGCTGCCACCAGCTGGCTGTGGGCACCAGGGTCTCGGCTCTGGGTGCACACTGCCTTCCTTGAGTCTGTCGTGCCCGACCCTGGACGTGTGGCTGGCCCTCCGTGCCTCTAGCAGGCCTCGTTGCCTGTGATGTCTGTGCTCCCTGCTCTGGAGGCGACATGCAGAGCAGGCAGTTACGGTTGCGGGGAGCCCCGCCAGGTTCCACTTCTGCAGCCCACCTCCTAGCAGTGTCCATCAGTGCAGTGGACACCATGCCAAACGTATGTCCAAGGGGAATGCCATCAGCCAAGGAACGGTTAGCGCCCAGCTGGATCACTGCACCTGGGCCAGGCCAGGAGGCCCCCTGGAGGCACCAGCCAGAACAGCTTAGGCTGTCGGCCTCCAGGGGGGAAGTAGAGCCACAGACCCTCCTGAGAGTCTTGGAAAGATTTCAGTGTGCCGGCTGCTGCCGCACAAGGAGGGTCTGAGAGAACCCTGGGAGCAGCGGTCTCAGGCTCTGTCAGTTTCTGGCCCATCCTCACATGCCCCGTTTGTATTATGGGTAAACACTTCTCAGCTAGCTCAGCTTTTGTGTCTCTACATTGAAAATTTAAAAGCCTATTTGGTCCATAAAGAGTGGATTTCTACCAAAAAATGTTATTCACCGATGCCCAGGCCATGAGAACAGCCCACTTAAACCCAACTCCTGGGCCTCCTTGTCTGTCCCCTGCCATTCCAGGGCGCTGCTGTGGATGCCCCGCGGTGGTGCTCTGCTCTGCAGTGGGGATGGCCTGGCACACACCAGCCTGGCTCCCTTCGCTGCTCAGGCAGAGCGCCCCTGAGAGGCTCCTCCATGCCTCTCTGCCCAAGCCCTCCCTGGTGGGGACGCTCTGGGAAGGAGAGGAACAGACAGTCTGCTTGCAGGTACACCTCGGACTCCCTGTCCCTGGGGCAGGCACACTTCCGTTCCTGTAGACTCACAGAGGCCCCAGTAAATGGCTTCCGCAGAAAAGCCCCTGCCCCTCCCGTGCCCGCTGACCGCCTGTGTGCCGAGTGAGTGCCGATGCAGGTCCTGTTGCTTGTGCTAGTGTGGAGTGCTGGGGAAGAGCAGAAATGTTCCCTGGGCTTTCCAGGGGGTCAGCAGCCAGGGCCAGGGCCGTGCCTGTCCCTGGGGAGCGTGACACTGCCTGGCTTGCAGCTCTCCGCCTGCGGGCCCCTCTCCCCTCCCAGCTGCTGGAGAGGCTTGCCTGTGTGGAGCCAGCTTGGAATCTGTTCCTTAGAGTTCCTGATCCGGCTCCTTTCCCTTGTAACTGGTTAGCCTGTTCGGCCCTCCGGAGAACAGCCTGTACCCGAGCGGCGGGGGCTCCCCGGCTCTTTTGCGTACACAAACAAGGCATCATTTTGGCTGCAGAGGGGGTGAGGCTGAAGCTAGGCTCGGTCGCTGCCTCCTCGCTCCACCCAGCCGCCCTGCCGGCCCCCACCGCTGGGGGCAGCTGAGCTGGCGACCCGGCCCGCCTGCCGCAGCTCTGTCCTCCCACTCCCTCTTTCCTGGCCGTACCTCCCTTCCATCAGCGCCCTAGAGCCAGCCACGGCATGCAGGCCGGCGCCTTGCCCTGTAGGACAGGTGTGTGGGTGCTAGCCTGCCCAGCGGCACGCTTGGGATCTGCCAAGGTGAACGAGGGGAACCTGCCGTCCTGAAGCCCTGGTGGCCCTGTGGCCTACGAAGCAGGGTGGGTGTGAAGGTCGGAAGCACTCCCTTTTGGTCCCTCCCACCAGTATGGGAGGACCTGAGGCTGTAGTTGTTGTAACTCCTGTCCGCTGTACCCTACCGTAGGACACGGAAAACCAGACTTGGACGGGTGGGTCCCACCCCTTTGTCTGTGCCCTCAGCTAGAGAAGTGGCACCCCTGTGTGCAGCTCTGAGCCCCTCGGCTTCAGGGAGCAGCACTGTGGTGTGGCCGCCATCCACTGCAGGGGTGGCGCCCGGCATGGCTGCCCTGCTGAGCCCTAACCTCCTGGAGGCTTGCGAACCGTTTGCTTTGTCAGGCCAGCGCTGGCGGAAATTCACCTCTAGGCCTCCGGTGTCTGTGGTCCATGCCTGAGGATGGCCTTGTGGTTCAGAGTCTTAGATGCCAGCAGAGGAGCACCTGGTAAAAGATCAACAACGAACTCACCAACCAGGGGCTACTATGAGCATTTTGACCTAGATCCTGCCCCTACCTGCCCCCCAATATTATTTCCTTCCTCCTCCCTCCCTTTTTCCTTTTTCTCTTCCCTAGTACCCCGCCCCTTCCTCACCCCCCCTTCCTCCTTTTTGCAGTGTTGGAAATTGAGCCCAGGGACTCAAGATGCAGGAAGTGCTCTACCACTGAGCTACACCTCTCTCCTGCCCCCCCCTTTTTTTGCTTTCCTAACTAAACTGGGAACACACAACATGCACATACTTTTACATCCAGCTTTTTCATTTGATATCCAAGCATTTCCTTGTGCCACGGACAGTTGAAGCAAGTATTAAGTGATGGTGGAGTCCAATGGTTGTACATTTTATCAATTTATCTGACCATTTCCTTTTTGTAGATGAGTTCTCGGTTTTCATTATTTAATGCTGTGATGAATATCCTAATCAGTTTTTGGTTTTTTACCTTAGACATTTTCCCCCTCAGATACCTGCAAGTGGTATGTTTGTGTCAGACGACTTTTTTCATGGCACAGATTCCCTTTGGTCTCATATTCAGATGCTCTGTGTTTCAGTAACAGTCCTGCTAAGCTGTGTGTTCCAAGCACTGTTTGAATATGACTCTCCTTCCCCCACCCCTTTTCAACGGATTTTTTTTTCTCCCCCTGAGAACCAGCTTCCTTATTTTCATTACAAGAATCTGGTCATGCTTGCATGTTAGTCTCTTCCATTCCTGCTGCTATGGCTTCCAAGTGCTTGGTGATGTTTTCACAATCTTGTCATTTGTGACCACAATGGTACTGAATCTGTTTCTGCAGTTAGCAGAGATAAAAGTGTTGTACTGACCTTTGCCACATGCTTAGTGGGTGATTCGTAATTACGTTTATAGACTCAGAAAGTTCATTGGGCTATTTGGGATCAATAGTGGAGTAAAAGCTCTGCTTTGAAAAAGAAACCATGTAAATGATTGGGTTTTATAAAAGCTCCTTTGTGTGACCCTCAGGAGGTCTGGCCTTTTTCTTGTACAGTGTGGTGCATGCCCCGGCTGGTATGGAGGTAAGGCCACCTTCTTTCTCCTCTCTGCCCATAGTGCTGTAGATTGACTGGTCTTGAGACTACCCAGATTTGATTCTTGTTTCTTCAGGTTGGGCGGTGGTCCATTGAGTTAGGTAGGAAACAGGATTCTTCCAGGCACCAGACTCAGTGCCTGAGTCTACCAGAGCTTATGGCCTCTTGTCCTCTGATGCCTGGAGACTCCTCCCTGACCAGCCCAAAGACCTAGGGTGCTCCCTGCTGAGATGGGAAGCTGCCGGGAGAGCAGCACAGAGGTCCCCTTTCTGGGAAAGGTCGCCATACACTGTTTTGTGTGTTGTTTCTCTGCAGGTGCAATATTAACTGGTGGTGACCTAGGTCGCTGTGGTTCTTTTTAGGCAGAATGTGTCTGGAGCCCCTTCACACCTCTGAGGGGCACTAGCTTCTGGCCCAGCCTGCAGGCCTCTAAATCAGGCTCTAGGGAGGAAACTGTTTTAGCAACAAGCAGTTTTATCTGTCGCTGAGATGATGATGGTGGGCAAATGAATTAGCTGGTGTACCTGGAATTTCCCTGTAACTCATTTCTTTAGTATGAAGAAACCAAACATCTGTAAAAAGTAAGACTTTTTACAAAGGGCAAGCTTTTTTTTTTTTTTTTTTAAACCAGTGCAGCCCCCTCCCTAGTCTAGCTGTCTGGCATAATGACTACAAGTAGTTTATTGTGTCAGTGACAAACTCTTGTCATGACAATAGTTTGATTGGATGTGGACAAATTAAACTTAACAGTATTTTTGAGCTGCTGCACTTGTCCGTAACTGAAATAGGACGAATCAATAGTATGTTGCTGTCGTTCAGGTTGGTGGCAGTCAGTTAGAACATGTGTAATATTTTCTACCTGGTCTGTAGCTGTAACTGTGATGTACAGGCAAAGCAAAAATTAAAAAAAACTTATGAAAACAAATAATGCAATGATACTAGGATATACACTTTTGTATTTTTATTCTTATATAAGGTTATTTGCTGGCTAAGGTTGGCCTCTAGTTCAGTCTGTGTTATTTAAATTCTAATATATGAATTATTTGGATTGAATTCATGTTCGGGGCCACCGTTGTTGTATGTATTGATGTACAGCCTTGAATGTGAATAATTATTGTAAACTATATTTTACAACTTTTTTTCTGGCTTTATTATATAAATTTTCTATTTGGTCATAGTTTAATCATATCATAATTTAATGAATCTTTTTTTTTCCCTTTTTTCAAGTATCTGTGCTTTCGATGTAGTTACTGAATGATGAATTTCCCTCGTATGCTCAGTAGTCTTGTAATAAAAGCATGTAGTGTGTACTGCTTCGCGGCCTGGCTCCTCCTTGGGCGGGGCCGGGGGCGGGGCCGGCGAGCGACGGCCGGAAGGGGGCGCTGCCGGCCGGCGTGCCGGGCCGGAACTTCCGCGTGACGCCGGGGCGGGCGCTTTGCTCCGGAGGACACTCTTAAGGACCGGACGCTTCCGGCCGGGCAGCGCTGCGGCCGGGCTTGCTGGGATCATGGCGGAGAACCACTGCGAGCTGCTGTCGCCGGCCCCCGGCGGCCTCGGGGCGGGGCCGGGGGGCGGCCTGTGCCGCCGCTGCAGCGCGGGGCTCGGCGCCCTGGCGCAGCGCCCGGGCGGCGTGTCCAAGTGGGTCCGGCTGAACGTCGGCGGCACCTACTTCCTCACCACCCGGCAGACGCTGTGCCGGGACCCCAAGTCCTTCCTGTACCGCCTGTGCCAGGCCGACCCCGACCTGGACTCGGACAAGGTGAGGGCCTCGCGGGCCGGCGGGCGCCTCGGCCCGCCCTCCTCGGCGAAGGGGCCGGCGGCGGAGGCGGCGGGGCCGGGGAGGCCGGCGGCGGGGCCGGGGAGGCCGGCGGCGGGGCCGGGGAGGCCGGCGGCGGTGGAGGAGGAGGCGGCGGGGCCGGGGAGGCCGGCGGAGGAGGCGGCGGGGCCGGGGAGGCCGGCGGCGGTGGAGGAGGAGGCGGCGGGGCCGGGGAGGCCGGCGGGGCCGGGGAGGCCGGCGGAGGAGGCGGCGGAGGCCGGGGCGCCCCAGACCCTGGACTTTGTTTCGGACCTACTTTATTTCTTCCCTCGGCTGGCGTGGCCGGGCGTGTGCGTGTGCGCGTGCGCGCGCGGGGCGCCGTGGCGGTCCCCTCGGCTGCCCGGGGCCGCCGTTTGAATCGGCGCCGCTCGGGGGCGGGGGCCGGCGCCCGCCTCCGGCCGCGGCGGCGCGGGCCGCCAGCCCCTCCGCGGAAGATGGCTCCCCTCGGGGGAGAGGGGAGCGGCGGGGAGCCTTTTTTGTTCTACCTTGATTTCTAGGCGTCGTTTCCTGCCAGCCTTGTAAAAGAACGGCCGTGTCCAGGCTCACGGCCGAGTCTCCGACCGAGACTGCGTGCGCGTTGTTGTGCAGATAGTAACGAAACGAACTTGCTGCCTACGCTGAGGAGAGCGCGGCTCAGGAAGGTGACGCCGGAGCCGCGGGATGCAGGCTCGGCGGGGGTGCGTGGACTTCGGTGTGGCAGCACGAGCCCCATACGAAACCTGACTGGATTTCCCAGTAGAACCTATACGACTGCACTTGGCAGTGTTCCTTGCCAGCTTGCCATATTTGCAGGAGGCTTTCCAAAAAGACGAGGAGCTCTCTCCACTTAGAAAATCCTGACGGAGACAGTTCTCGGTGTCAGGACATGAGAACTCGGGTCGCCACAAAAGCAGAAATTAGGGCCTTGAACACACACTCTCTGAACTCTCCTCCCTCCGTCTCCCCCACCCCCTCCCCTTCTCCAGCTGTTCCCAGTTCTCATTTGATCAAGCTCCCTACTCTTACTTAGAGACTTGACCTCTGGAAAATGACTGCCATCTCCAGGATAGAAATAGGCTTTTGTCAGCTGTGGTTTCTCTCGTAGTGTGGGTGTATGTTTACTGTTGTTCTTAATCTTTTTCTGACCCTTTACTTGACTTTCTACTCCAGCAGTATCCCTGCTTTGCTTAACTCGGTTTTAAATTGTTCTTGTCCATTTGGGTTCTTTTGAGGCAGTGGCGGCCTGTGCAGCACTGAAACAGTAGATTCAGAGCCTGATGACTGATTCACCCCGTCATTTTATTTTTACAGCTACTCTTAAGAATTAGGCTTTACTGCAGTTGTGATCCGTGTGTGTGTGTGTGTGTGTGTGTGTGTGTGTGTGTGCAATTTTATCTATCAGAATGTATCTTTGTTGTAGTTGGTTTTTAACAATCATATTCTGTTTCGGAAATGTCAAAGTGAAATTCAGAACATACAGGTAATCTAGCAGATACAGTCTCTCATACAGTTGGTAGCAATAGATAAGGGTTAGTTCTAGTCACAGATAAGTTGCCAGAAAGAGTAGTTCTCACTAGCCATGTCACTAAACTGATAATGTATACATGAAGGTCTTCTCGGCCCCCTCCCAAGCTTCTGATGAAAGAATGTCCAAGGAGATACCTCCTAGGGTAAGGAATCTGAGGGCGGAGGGTGGAGGTTAGGGGTATTAGCAGTGGGAGGCCATTAATTACATATTGAAGACAAACAGGATGTTGATTCACTTGTGAGGATCTCCAAACTGACCTCATTAAGAGATTGAGGAAAGAATACCTGATAGCTGTTCCTAGAGTTGGACTTCAGCGGGAACCTGCTACGAGACCCCTTCCAGGGACGGGGCCTATTGTTGGGCATTTGGCATCGGGCCCACCAGTAGTGATTGTGGAGCTCCTGTGCTTGCCAGGTGCCGTGGTGGGATCGGAGTTGGGTGAGGACCCTTCAAATCAAAACCTTCTGGGGTTCCACAAGGCCTGGCGTGAAAACTTCCGTTCTACTGCACCCCTCCATCCCCCCAGTTCTTAGAGCCCAAGTTGGGACCCACTTCTGGCCATGCTTGTGTCCCCAGACCCTCACCCTCTGGTCTCCTGTCACCGCTGCTGTGATGTTCTCTGTATAGACGGCCTGAGTGGGACACAGTCCAGCGGGACTGTGCTGGGGTTGGCCGTCTGCTGTCCTGTCTTTTTTCTTCCCCATGTTGTCCCTGGGGCAGGCCAAGCTCATACTCCTTCTCGTGCTGCCTGTGGGGAGGGTTTGATTCCCTTTGGCTGTGTCTGTCTGTATTCCCAGCTGTTGTATTCCAGAGGCATTGCTGTAAACACAGCTTGTGTGTCGCTTTACTGGCCCCTGACTTAACGTGGAGGGGCAGACAGGGTGGCACTCGGTGGATCTTTGGGGGATTTTTGGGGGTGGTCATGGTGTGTCCTGTGATCAGGCCCTGAAGTCCTTTCCAGTGCCCACTCCGAGGACACTTGGTCCTGGTGAGTTTTAGGGTTAGGAGGGTAGGAAGGGTTAGGAGATGGCGTGTGGGCGGGAGTGCCATCTTTGGATCCGCTGCTGGCTTGGCAGGAGAAGTAGGGATTGCTTAGAGTGGAAATGGCCGATTATGCTCTGCAGAACTGAAGTCAGAGGAGCAGTGGCCTGGCAGAGTCCTGCAAATGGCCTGTGCGCTGGACATGGAGGAGGCACGAGGTGGGTTTCGTTTTGATGCTTGTGGTCCTAGCTGTGGAGCCTGGGCTGCATCTCCCACCTCCTCTACCACGGCTGCTTGACCTGAGTCTGTGATCACCTGGTGCAAGGCACATAGCCATTGGCTGTGAGCAGGCCAGTGTTGAGGAGGATGGACCTGTCCTTTCATGGGAAGTTGGACCCTTCCTCCCAGGCCTAGGCTCCATGGCCATCGGCTGCAAGGCTGGCCCTCTTTCCAGTAGGCAGTGCCTGGTCTCAGGTTAGCCCAGGAGTCTGACAACACTTGCCAGGTTTTCCACACAGAGTGTTCCCGGAACCCACCCATGCGCCTCAGCCTCCGGATGGGTGTGGCCGCTCTGTCTCCAAAGGGGCGGGACCCATGAAGCTGCGGCCCAGTGAGCGCAGAGTCGGGGCAGCGTGCTGCCCCCTCTCTAGTGTCCTTACGCCAGGCCAGGTGTCACCCCAGCTCCCTTTCAGAGCTCAGCGTGCGCTCCACTCACTCCTGCGGTGGTCCCTCTGCACACCAGGCCCCCACCACAGCCTTTGAAGTTGGGAAGGAGCCTGGTTTTGACTGTGATGTGATGGTGGTGACTTCCCCGCTGAGCAGAGGCTGCTCAATCAGGAGAAGTGGCAGGAGCTGCCACCTGGCACTGGGGAGGTGTAGCGATGGATGCACTTAGTGGTCATTGCTTTATCCTTGTGCTTCAATTTCATTTATTTATTTTTTGGTTGGTTGTGGGGCTTGAACTCTGGGCCTGGGCGCTGTCCCTCAGCTCTTCAGCTCAAGGCTAGAGCTCTACCACTGGAGACTCAGCACCGCTTCTGGTTTCCTGGTGGTTAACTGGAGATAAGAGTCTCACGGAGTTTCCATCCCCGGACTGGCTTTGAACCACGATCCTCAGGTCTCAGCCTCCTGAGTAGCTAGGATGACAGGCGTGAGCCACCAGAGCCCAGCCTGTACTTCATTTTTTTTTTGGGGGGGGTCCAGTCGTGGGGCCTGAACTCTGGGCCTGGGCGCTGTCCCTCAGCTCTTCAGCTCAAGGCTAGCGCTCTACCACTTGAGCCACAGCGCCACTTCCGGCTTTTTTCTTTTTGCTTATGTGGTGCTGAGGAATCGAACCCAGGGCCTCAGGCAGGCAAGGCGAGTGCTCTACCACTGAGCCACCTTCCCAGCCCCTGTACTTCATTTCTTAAAAGAACGTGTCCAGATGCTTTCTCCCCACAGAGTTTTCTTAATGTTTGTCTCGTGCATAGTCATTGCTGTGAATCTTCCCGAGTGGGGCTGGGGGGCCCGAGGCTCATGGATGGCCGGAAAGGACCAGGGCGCCGGTTGGGAGCCTTGCCGAGGGGCCGGGGCCGGGCTGCCTGGGCAGCAGCAAGCTTGTGAAGCACAGCGCCAGGGTTCCAGTATGCTGCCCGGCCCTGTGCTCTGTGTGGACTCGCCTACCCTGGGCTCCAGCCCCAGAGGGCAGTGAGCCCGCCCCACCCGGCTTCCCCCGCATCCATGGCTCTCGGGTCCTTGGCGGCTGTGGCACCTCTGCGCTCCACGGCTTGGTTTTGCAGGTAGGGCCTGTGCGGGCTGAGGGAGGCGCAGGTGCCACTGGGGACTGGGCAGGCCACAGCGGGGAGGAAAAGGAGCCAGGGCTCCCTTGGGTCCCAGCAGGAAATCAAGAACTCTTTGCCTTGTCTGTCCCGCAGAGGCCACCTTGAAGCTGCTGGGGACTGCGGAGCGGACCGCTTTGGGCCCCACAGCTGAGGGGTGAATGTTTGGCCGGGCTGTCCGGGGCGCAGTGTTCTGCACAGAGTGGGGAGACGCGGGCTGGGCGGCCGCACCCCAGTCCCACAGAGCCTCCGGGCTTGGTTTGTGCAGCCCGGTCCCTGCTCATCGCCGCAGTCCCCGTTCCCGCTGCCACCGGCGGCGTGCCAGATCCACACACTCAAGCGGCAGCAGCGCGTGTCTGCGGTGGACCGTCCTAAGTTAGGGAACCACCAGGGTGGGCACCCCCAGCCCAGAGCACAGAGCCCGCACCGCGGCCGTGCACCTGCTCACCCACCAGCAGGAAGCAGCCCTCGGGGCTCCATCCCCGGGAATCAGGAGCAGGCTTGTTCCACAAGAAGCCACGAGAGCCTCGTGCGTGGGGGTGGGGAGGAAGGGGCCCCCTTTGGGGAGTCCCCATCACATCTGCTTCCGAGCTTCGTTTGACTCACACACGGGAATGCCAGCGTCCCCCATTCTCGTTTCCAGCGGTGTGGAGGGGCCGCTGCCCTCTGGAGCTGGGAGGCCAAGGCCTGAGATGTGAGGGGCTCCTCCCAGGGGAGCAGGCCGCTCGCCCCTCCCTGTCTCAGCCCAAGCTGCTGTTCCCAGTGCACACAGGCAGCGCAGGACCGTGTAGCAGAAGCAAGTTGAGCGGGAGGGTCTCCCGGACCCTCGCAAGCTGTTAGGAGTTGGGGCCACCGCAGGGGTGCTGGTGTGGAGGTGGCAGGCGCAGGGTGCAGATTGGGCGCTGGCGGTGTCAAAGGCCTCTCTGGGGTTGAGGCTTGTGTGGGACAGGTCAGAAGGGTACAGGCGAGGGTTCGCATGTGAACGTGGAGTCACTTGAAACGTGACTTGTGATTTCAGAGGAAGAAAGCCAAGTGTGTCTCCCAGGCTGGTGGGGATATTGGTGTGGGTTAGATGGGGGGGCGGGGAGAGGGGGTGTTGCTAGAGTGCTCGCTGCATTTGCTCTACAACACGCTCCCCACAGCCCACCATCCCGGACGCTGTCGCTCCTCTCCTGAGCTACTCTCAGAACTTGAACTCGCGGCCCGCCCCTCAGGCTCCCACTCAGCTGAGCAAGCACTCCTAATTCTAGCTCTTCTATAAACCTCCCCGCCATGCCCAGATAGCCCGTGCCTGTTATAGGGATGGGCTGGGAAGATGGCTCAGTGGTAGAGTGCTTGCCTTGCATGCATGAGGCCCTGGGTTCGATTCCTCAGCACCACAGAAGCAAAAAGAAAAAAAGCCGGAAGTTGTGCTGTGGCTCAAGTGGTAGAGCGCTAGCCTTGAGCTGAAGAGCTGAGGGACAGCGCCCAGGCCCAGAGTTCAGGCCTCACGACCAGACCCAAAAAAACAACAAGAAAAATTAGAGATGGTCAGGAAAGAGGAAGAATGGCCACGCACGGCCATCCGCGGTGTCCAGCCTTGGCCTGCCTCCCAACCACTTCTCCTTAGTGTTTTAGGTGTCAGGCCGGCAGCAGACGGTGATGATGGGTCTAGCCGTCATCTCCGCAGGACTGCCGGCACCGCGCGCCCACCGGCAGCCCAGCCGGTGGAATGGAAGGTGGAGGAATGGAGGCCCTGAGCTTAAGACCCTTGGCCCTTTCTGTAGAGGCTGCCATCTCCCACATCCTGCCCTGTGCCTCGAGCTCACCTCTAGTGATGCACCGACAAAGTGTCCTTGCCTACCCTGCCTGCGCAGTGCCACGTGGGCCTTTGCCCTGCTGGGGCTCCGGTCCTACCAGCCGTGACACCGGCCTGGGCTTTACTGTGCGGGAGGAGTGCCGCGTGACCTCATCTCGCGCCGGCAGAGGCCAGCGGGGCAGCGGTGTGTCTGGAGTGCCCGGAGTGCCCTGCTCCCCCCCCCCCCTCAGGCGGCGGCCCGGCGACGGGCAGCCCTCGTCCGGATCTGAGGGTCTGGTCCCGAGCATGGTTTCCAGAGGTGCTCCTGCCTGAGCGCCCTGTGCTTGTGGCTTCCTGTGAGATTCTTGGGGAAACTGTGTGCGTGCTCATACTGGACTGGGCTAAGCAGGGCCAAGCATGCTCACTTGGCTTTTTCGTCAAGGCTAGTGTTCTACCACGTGAGCTGCGACTCTGTGTCTGGCTTTTTGTTGGTTAATTGGCGATAGCAGTCTCTTGGACTTGTGTGCCTGGGCTGGCTTTAAACCTTGATCCTCAGATCTCAGCCCTCCTCAGTAGCTGGGACTACAGGTATGAGCCACTGGTGCCCAGCGTGGGAAGACATGTTTATAGTCAAAGAAGAACAGGGATGGCCAGGTGTGGTAGTGCACGCCTGTAATCATAGCACTCAGCAGCTAAGGAGGATCATAAGTGAAGCCCTTGTTTCTTAAAACAGAGTAGCCAGGTGCTGGTGGCTCATGTCTGTAATCCCAGCTACTCAGGAGGCTGAAATCTGAGGATTGCAGTTCAAAGCCAGCCAGGCAAGGAATAGCTCTGAGACTCTTACCATCAATGAACCACCAGAAAATTGGAAGTGGCGCTGTGGCTCAAGTGGTAGAGCACTCGCCTTGAGCAGAAGAGCTCAGGGACAGTGCCCAGGCCCAGAGTTCAAGCTCCACGACTGACAAAAAACAAAAAAAGAGTAATAGTAATAGAAGTACAGGAATTGCAGTGGGAAATTCGCGTGGGTTTTAAGATGCGCGTCAAGCTGCCGGGGATGGTCTGAAGTGGGCTTTGTCATGGGTGCTGTCCTAGACAGTGTGGCGGTGTGATGGGGCTGGGTTGGAGAGGTGTTCCTGCTGCTCCCGCCACGCCTCCTGGGCGGCTGGACTGCTGAGTGGCCTGCGGAGCCGAGCAGCCGCAGGCTCGCGTGGCGCATGCGTGGCTCCTGGGTTCATGGGCCTCTCACTCTTGCCGCCCTCCCGCCGTGGCCGTGGTGAGGTGACAGCAAATGCCCTGCACTCCCTGGGTCTCGTTTTTCTGGAAGCCTCCAGGAGGATGAGGGTGAAGTCACGAGAAACCACCAGGAGAGAGAATGGGCCACCCGACCCCCCAGCCTGTCCCTCCGGCCCGGGACAGGCAGGTTTCTATGGGTGTGCAGCTGTGGGCGGGTCGCTGCCCTGGGTCTGGGGAGGGGTGTGAAGAAGCAAGGCCCTGGCAGGACATCCTGCTTGGTGGCTGGCTCCAGGCCTGGCGGGCCTCCGGGCCCTGCAGCTCCCACGCGGGCCTGTCCACCCGGTGTGGCCCAAGGGAGCCGCGCCCACCGTGGATATGTGAAATCGCCTTCCCCAGCCACTGGCGGGGACCTTGCTGCCCCCTTGCTGAGGCAGGAAGCGGCCACTCCTCCGTGGAGGTCTTGGCACTGCTGCTGTGGTGTCCAGGGGCAGGGCGCGGGCTGGGACGGGGCCGCCTGGCCCTGCTCTGACTAGAACTACTGCAGGACTGACAGCACGGCCTTCACTCTTCGCAGGATGAGACCGGTGCCTATCTCATTGACAGAGACCCCACCTACTTCGGGCCTGTGCTGAACTACCTGAGGCACGGGAAGCTGGTTATCAACAAGGACCTTGCAGAAGAAGGCAAGTGGTGGTTTTCTGCGCAGAAACTTGATCATGGGGGCAGTCCTGGTGTGCTAAACAGACTAGCCAGCACCTCCCTGAGGCTACGGGTCTCAGGGGAAGGGCTGGTGGCCCAGGGTGACAGGTGGCCTCTGGCTGGAGGGAAATCCCAGTTACGCGT